TTAAAGGTCCAGTGTGTAAGATTTAGGTGAAAGGGAATTGTCAGAAATTTAACGTAGAATAATCCTCATGATGTTTTCACTAGTTCGTTTCATCTAAATTGTATGAGTTGTAGTTTTCTTTACCTCAGAAAATACTCTTTATATTTAAATACTTTATATTTACATGGAGGGGACCCTCTCTACGGAGGCAGCCATGTTTTTTTACATGAGTCCAGACTGGACAAACTAAACACCTTTTGAGTTTTTATAAAAAATAAAGTCTACCACAGTTTCCTCTTCATGTTTGGAAGAAGAGGTGAGGGGTGTTCAGCTGCAACATGAAACTTCAACACTAGATATCACTAAATTTAACTCTTGCTGTTGTACAACTGCAAATTTCTCCATTGAAGGATTATCTCATCTCAACTTATCTCAACTTATCTTAACCCAACCATCCTCCAAAACATCTCTAACATCTGGACCATCCCAGCTGCAGGGTCATGTGCTGTCTCCGCATCCTCTGCTCTTATTATGGAGCCCTCTCTTCCTGTCGCATGTTTCCGCTCAGTCTGCAGCCTCACACCTCCGCTGACGGACGCGTCTGTCCGCGCTCACGGGTCGAGTTGCGCAGTTTCACGATGCCTCTGCCGCAGCAGCTCCGAGACGAGAGGTGAGTGTGTGAGTGATGCTCCGGATTCTCGGATTCGCCTGGAAGTGAGCGCTTTTACTTCTGTTTCAGATTCTTCTGCGCTCCACCGTCAAACTTCAGGGGAATCTCCCCTCAATCAAACGTTGAATGGTTGTTTCTGCTTTCTACATCATGTGATATTAGTTGTTTTTTTTCAAACTTCAATCTTGTGTTTTAGATGTTGAGAAGTGAGATGACACAGGTTCTGCTCTCTAATGTCTTTTAGATTGTTCCAAAGTGTCTGCTTTGGATTCCAGTCTAGACTTCAGAATGGTTAGAAACACTTCACCAGAGGAGCTCAGGCTCCTGAAAGGTCTGAAATATAGGGAGACGCCCGTCTGGCTTTAAAAGTAATTAAGAGAGTTTTTGAAATTGTGTTAGAAGTTGCCAGGTGAGAGGAGGTGAGGGTGTGAATTAGTTTTTCCAGAGATAAAAGATTTCACCTTGTTTTCTAACTTTTAAAAACAATATTGCACAACTTTTTTCAAAGTTGAGGTTCGAAGCTCAGGCTTCACCCACAATTCTTGCTGAGGACTTAATACGTGGTGCCAGTTAAAATAAGTGAATCCTGTAATAATCCTATATTTATCCCCAGGGGAGAAATGTGTGTATTACAGCAGCTGCAGTAGAATAAACACGTATAACTGAGGTGCCAGTGAAAGAAATACTTAAAACACTATAATAAGACTGAGCAAGTGAAGACAGTGAAGTTTGATTCCCGGGAGCATGGCACTGATGAGATTTTAAATCATTAAAGTTTGTCTTTCAGTGTAAAAAAAACCATGTGATGCTTGTGTTTCTCAGTGATTTCGACCAGCTGCCTAATAACGTCCCGATCAGCGCCACCATCGCTGATATTGAGGAGAAGAAAGGTTTCATCGACTACTTTGTGAGTCTGGAATCGCAAACTTGGTAAAGTGTTGCATACAGATGTAATTCTCATTTCTGCCTCTCGTCGTCTTCCAGAGATTTGTGATTGAGGTGAAGACGAAAGGAGGGAGCAAGTATCTGATCTACAGGAGGTACCGAGAGTTTTTCAACCTGCACCAGGTCCTGGAGTCCAGGTACTCGCCTGAAGACCCAGAGAAACCTGCTCCCAACACCTGCATCCTGCCGTCTCTGCCAGGTGAGTGAGTGTGTGTGTGTGTGTGTGTGTTTCTCCATCTGATAACTGCACACACCCAAACACTCACATACGTCACAATATGCAAACCGGCGTCAGGTTTCAGATTGTTTAAATACTGTACGTGTGTGTTTCTTGAACACACGGTTCAAAGCGGAGTTCATCACGATGTGTGATTCTGAAATCTATCCCTTCAGATCTCACAGGAAATGTCTCGTCTGAACTATGTTTAAGAACAGTCTCGGATTCCAAATGTTATTCTGCTCCAGGCAACATGGGTTGTTCCTGAGGCGTCAGTGTTTTAAACAGATGATGAGATAAAAGTGCTTCAATCGCCCCCCTGGTGGCTGGCTGCGGTAAAGCTCATATCCTCCACCACCTTCATGTTAGTGGATGGGACGCGGACCAACCTAAAAGGTCAAATCTTAATCTTATTTGTTCAAGTATTTCTGATAAGTTTGTTTTATTGAAGTTTATCAGTGGGACCTTGATTCGCTCACACGTCCATTAAATCCCAATAAAGCAGTTTTTATTATTTTCATTATTACATTTTTAATAATAATAATAATAAAATTGCATTAATCAGTTATATACTTGAAAGATTGATATAAATTCTCTCGTGGTTTTAGAGTCTGCAGATAGTAGCTCAGTGATTCCGTTGTGTGGAGGCTCAGCTGCTGATTGACTGCAGAGGAAAACTCTGCTTTCCTGCATCGTTTCTGCCGAATCACTCTTTAACCTTCACCTTCAAATGCAAACTCATTCTGCTCCGCTTCATGCACATGGAGAGGAACAGACTGGGTGTGTGCGGTGGCAGCTGTTCTCTCCCCCGTGGCTGAAGAACTGAAACCCATCTGAACGTGCTTTTGTGAAAGTATCTAAATCCGCTGCATGTGTTGGACGTAGAGTTTATCACAAATCATCGTCCCTCCTGTCTGTGAGTATTCAGAGGATTTAGATGTGATGGACGTGCTTGATAATCCCAAAACACATGAGTGGTGGTTGAAATAAGTTTAATCATTTAATTAGTGTTGCGGCTCCTACAGATCCGATTATAATTTCACCCACTTTTGGTGCAAACTCGCTCCTCCATAAATCCAGCTCCGCTCAAACCACGGGGGGAAAGTGACGGCACATTTCAGGAACATGTTTCTGCATAATAATGTGAAGCTCGAGACCTGAAAGTGCTGCGTTGCATCCCTGGTGAATGTGAGATATTATCTGTCTGAATCTAAATATTAATCAAATTGAAGTTTAATGATTTATTGTTAATATCTCAACAAATGTGCAAACTCCCTTTGAGGTCAAATGGGTTTTTTTTTTACCAGTAAAACTTCTTAAATTCGATTTCACACATTTACGCACGTCATCTTTCGACTTCTAAAAGATAGAGCTTTTCTTTTTCTTTTTTTTTTTGACATTTTCACAGATTTCCCAGGGAACGAAAATGAAATGAAACTCAGGCATATTCAGGGAACTGATATCTGTGAGCGTGTGGAATTCTAAATGTTATTTAGGTTGGGCCGTGATGGAGGTGTACACTCTACTGAGGGCTACAGTTTGAGAAAGTTATTTTTTAAAGTCAAATGAAGAAGTTTGAGTATTTCTCCTCGTAGAACTGTTGTCCGCAGCGTGGAGCTAAATCTAGTGGCTGCTTTGTTACACCTCCTGGTCACGGCCATAACTTTTGACTTCAACTCTGGGTCCCGCTCATTCTCAGATGACGTATCGACCCACAGGATCTCCACAGATTGAACGATTAGGTAATTTATAGTCAGCGGGGCCTTTTTTACTAAAGAGAAAAACCGTGATTTGTAGAAAATCCCGAACCATAAACTATTTCAAAAGCTGAAACCCGCAGGGAATGTGTTTCACGTGGGAACAGCAATGCAGCATGAAGTCGCAGGATGACAAGGAGGTGAGTTGCATGAGCGGAAAAAAATGAATGATGAAGTGACAGAATGAAGAAATACATGCATCAGAGCACGTCTGGACTTTTAATGGTCGAAGGTCCGGGGAATAAAAGTCATTGGCCCGTGCAAGTGAGCTGTTGATGAAGAAGATTAAGAGGTGGGAGAAGGAACTTTAAATTAGAACCACTCAGAGGCTGAAGGGCCCCATTTCAAACTGAGGCAGACAGAGGCTGCAAATATCAGAGCGGAATCCAGCCGTGAATTCCCTTCATGTGATAAATCCAGTTATTGTGCAATAGTTAATCCGTGTTGTATCAATTTCAGTTTGAGCACCGTAAGTTTTTTAATGTATTTACAGTGTTTTTTATTATTGTTTCATTCTTAATTTCTCTCAGAGTCACTACAGATGTCCAAGACTGTCACCGGACCGATATTCAGGCGTCGGCCGAGCTGCCGTGTTTGTCCTCGTCTGCTCAGTGGCTCTGGTTTTATTCTGCAGCTCATTGTTTTCCCATAAGTCCGTCTGTTTGTCTGAGGAGCCGCCGTCAGTGTCCGTGATGATTAACGGAGCCTGGGAACCAACATCTGCAGCAATAAAAGCCTGAAGGCTTCGAATGGGAGGCTCAGACCATTGATTTGGGAGAGATGAGGACAGAGTATGTGTGTGTGTGTGTCTGGTCCAGGTATTACTCTTGGACAATTCTTTTATTTACACATTTTTCATCATTCCATCTAATGATGGCGATGGAACGACCGGCTGACGGTTTTCCGTCCCTACAATCAGTGAAACTAGCATCAGCGACCCTGCTGGTTCCCTGAAGTCTGAATATCTATGTTGGTTTTATGACCTTCATCGAAATGGTTTTCACTCTGTCCCTTTGTCCATTTCAGGGTTGGCTTTTGTGCTTGTGAGTCAGATCATACAAAAAAGTAACGAACCGATTCCCATGGAACTCGGGGGAAGGAGGGGACACGGGCCAAGAAGGAACTCTTTCAGTTTTGGCCCCAGATCTTTTTTATCTTTTTATCACTTACTTTAACAACCTGCGAGACGTTATTCATCAACCGCACATAAGGACCCAGAACAAAAAAACACAAGTGATCTTGTGTGTGCTCGAGTTTCACAGCATCTGTCTCATCTTCACGCTGCACCTGTGCTGAACTGAGGATCCAACAAAACAAGGCTCCTGCTGTTCCCTGATCTCTTCTCTCTAACCCCCGTCCGTCCGTCCTGCCCCGCACGTCTCTTCCTCCATTCCAGCTTTATTTGCTCTGTGTCAGAGTAAAGGTACAAATGATTCATATTCTTGGCAGGTGCTTTAACTTGCCCTCAGCGGACGGTTTGACATGCGGAGTTGCAGTATTTGCAAAAATGCATTTAAAGTGAAGGTCAAAAGGAAATGTGAAATGCCTTTTGAAGAATGAGGCAGTTTTTCCGCATCAGAATGTCTCTGTAATGGCAGGAAAAATATAGAATAACCTTTATCCAGGTGTAATGTAACAGTATTTAAATTTGTTTTCTTTTTTTTAAAGTTTGCAGCATGCATAGTTTGTCTTTTTGAACGATACAGATATTAGCACGGTTTCCAAAAAACTACAATCTATGGACACCTTCTGTCTCCGGCTCTCGTTTGAGGGGTAACGTGGTGTTTCCAGGGTTTCTCTCTACTCAGCTACTTCACCTTATCTTCAATAACGGGGACGTCTAAGTAATTCTGGGAATCTGATATCCCTTTATATCCCCTGTACTTGACATAAATCTTAAATTTCGTTCTTTCTTTTTCATTATAGAGATGAATATAACTCTAGAGTCGCATGTTATATATGCAGACATTTGTCTCTATTGTGAAAATTAACTTGAACGTCCTCATCGGATTTCATTCTGTCTCCCTCATTGTCTCTTGCTATATTGGGAAAGTTCTATTTTGCTACAAACTCTGATTTAGCATCTGCCACTGAGGAGTTTGCAGGATAATATTAGATCTGATGGGTTTAATTGCACTGCCAGATCTCATCAGGACGAAAAGAGAATAAGACAGACGTGTCGGGTGGGAGCAGAAAAAAAAATAATGGAAAAGTATATTTTTTGATTAATGAGAAATCCCTAATAGAGAATATCTATCTATTTTTTTTTTTTCATCTGTTTCTCAGTCTTTTTATTTTTTTATTTATGAGTCACCTGAATATTGTCTGGACCAGATCCATCACACGTCCTACAATAGAAAACAGAAATAGAAACAGCTGTGTGATAGATTCAAGGTCAAAAGGACATTTATCCATCGAGGCTCGGGGAGAGATGAAGAGACGCGAGTGAATGATTCATCAGATGGAGAGTGAATGGGTGAATTTCTGTCTTGAGTGAGTTATCGAGCTGAAGAGTGAGTGAGATGAGAGGAACTGAGGGGAGAGAGCGAGAGCTGAATATTGCTGGGGCTCATTAAGACTGTGCTAAATCCTGTTAGATGGACTCGATGAATCGTGGACGGGGCTGATTTAGAGTGTTTGGAGTTTGCGCCTCTTAATTTCCGACTGGACTTGGTGCGATGGTCAGGACGGAGGCTGCTACGTTTCAAGAAAGATGTTTTTTTCAATTTAAAAAATGCCAATAACCCCAGAAAGTGCTGGGATAGATTGTGTTTTTCAAGAAATTGAGCAGCGGGAGAAATAACACTCACATGCATTAATGTGCAGAAGCCAGATTAGTTTGAATAAAACACAAATACTCTTTTTATCAGAAGCCTTCATGGAGGTCTCCTTCAACTCTGTATTACCATACGATAGGATAAACTTTATCTCTGGATAAACTGGTCTCTGGATAAACTGGTCTCTGGATTCTTCCTCCAACTCATGAGACGTTTGCAAAACTTTAAAAAATGCTTGAAATTGTTCTGCTTCTCATCAGCAGACGTGTTGATTACTGTCTTTGTTGCCACATTGCTGAGCCTCTTCATTCCCACCCCCGTCAATCAACCAAAGGAATTTACAATATGTGACCCCTCATGTATGTGCGTCCACGGGTTCAAAACCCCACAGGGGGGAACTTTCACATTTATTGTTTTTTTTTTCTACTGAGCAACAACAACATGATGTCATCCGGTAAATCTCTCTGTTCTCATATTTCTCGTTAGGAAAAGTCTTCATCGGCAACAAGCAGGAGATCGCAGAGAGCAGAATCCCTGAGCTCAACACGTACATGAAGGTAATCACTTGGAGTTTTAACGCAGGGGAAGGAGCGGTCGGCCTCCTCTGCAGCGTGCGGCGCAGGAGCCTACAGCTCGGTGGGCTGAGCGATGCTGTAGGTGGAGAAGCACTGACTCGGATATTTCAGCCGTGGTTTTGCAGATGGAGCTCAGCACGTAGGCGTTGCTGCTCCCTTCTCTTTGCTCTGCCCTGTGCCCACATCACGTCTGACTGACTGTAGTTGTGCGACTTCTGACATGTTGCAGCAACACGATCAGGTTCTCTCTCTCTCTCTCTCTCTCTCTCTCCCTCTCTATCCCTCTCTCCCACTCACTCACTTCTCTACTCTTTTTTGCTTCTCCCCTCAACCTACGTGGTTTCTACTTTGCCACGTTCCCTCGCCTTCTCTCGCCTTGCACTTGTGATCACTCTCGTTACGTCTCTCTCTCTCTCTCTCCCTCTCTCCTCATCCACTCCTTCCACGCTCTTTCTCCATCTCTACTTCATCTCCACCTTTCTCACGCTTCTTCCCTTCATCTTGCTCCTTCATCCAATCGTCTATCCTCGCGAGCCGACCTCTTCTCATCCCCCTCTCTCCTCTTGTGCCAGGGGCTTCTGGGTCTGCCGATATGGCTCCTGCTCGACGAGGCTCTCCGGATGTTTTTCTACCAGACGGAACGGGACAGCAAACATCAACCTCTGGCCCTCAGGCGTCTCCGTCCACCGACCCGCAGAGTGTAAGCACCCCCCCCCCCCCCCCCCCCCACTGCACACCCTGCTAACAAGACAAAACACAGCTCGGCTGGAGACGCTGAACAGTTCGGACCAATCACCGAATCACTCCTGATCTATTAAGAGGATAAAAACACCAGCTCCGTCCTCGTGACTCTTTATTCACACTAAACTATCGTGCGTTTTTTAATTTAATCTGTTGAAGGACAAATTAAAGCGACGCGATCTTCCTCGTCGTCTGATCCCCTGCTGACGTTACATCTCTCGTAGCCGCTCGCTTGCTGCACGTTATTGGATTTTGTGAAACTTGATGAATGGATGCACGAGACACACATGTAGAGATACAACATGCAACAGTGTGTTGTGTTCGTCATGTCAGGATCTACAACACAGAACAGTTTGTGACAGAAGTTAGAAATGTTGATATAAAACAAAGAGACTGCCTCGGCCGTCTCCTCCTCCTCCTCCTCCTCCTCCTCCTCCTCTCATTTAAGTCACGAGGAAGCAATAGAGGTGATGATACATAAATTTAGAACCGAGAAAAGTTCATTGAACCTTATTGTTCTTTTCAAAGCTCTACTTCCTCATTTATAACGAATGTTCCGGCTTCTGATTGGTTCATCTGCCTGTGGTCAGGTTGCAGCAGATGTGGTAAAGAGGGACTCTCTCTCAACAGGAAATGATGCAAAGCTCGACTCTGGTTACTTCCTCTGCTCTTACACCTGATCTGCTGTTACTCTGACGGACACACGGTCGGTTTGTGTGTTTGAAACAACACGCGGAACTGTGATGTTTCCTCTTTTGGGTGTTGCCACACGTTTGATTCCCTCCTTGCCCTAGAAACCACCTGATTTTTGCAAGATGTTGGCTGTAAATTCTTGCAGTTGAGAGATGTAATTTAATTTTCCACACTTGGTACAAAGTGATCCAAGTTGTTTATTGAATTTCCGTTCATACACCTCACCTGTTTTTCTAATTACCTCGTGGCAGTTACCCGATCATTGAGTTTCTTTTTTTAATTATTGAATCACTGCACTTTTTAATATCACAGTCGCCCCGGAGATGCTTGCGGTGGATGGCGTGCATACGAAATACACATCTGTAGTACAACACATCCATCACACCATCTGTGATTAGTTTGAAGCAACGAAAACATTTTGATCGGAGAGTTTCTCTTTCGTGTGTGAAGAACGCAGAAATCACTGGGTTTATGTTTTCCAGCAGATTAAAGATGGTGCGAGAAGACTGGATGAATCCTGATGTTTATTTCTTTCAGAGAAAATAGAGAAACGTCATCAACACATGTGCTCACTCGCTGTGTCTGGACATTTTCCAGCTATAATCCAGCTCACATGGGCTCTGACCTTTTTACGAGGTTCACTGCACCAATAGTTCCACAAAATGTCCAGAGCAGCTGACTCAGACATTTGTGTTCTCGCGGAAAATGTTCGGATGCAGTTTAAGATTGTTGTTTCCTGAATGAAGGCGATGGAGCGACCGACAAACTGACTTTGCTGTTTTCTAATTTTTCTTTCTTTTTTCTTTCCTTTTCGTTTAAATGTCATTTGAACTTGTTCTTAAAATCTGTTCTCTTACGTGAATTACATGTTAACATTTGTTTTTACCTACATTCTCTGTAAAGCACGTTGAGCTGCAGTTCTTGTGTGAAAGGTGCGACACAGATCAAGTTATAACTCTGATAACTATCATTATAATTAATCAAGAGATGATGCGTTCTGCTGTTTATTACACCTGCTGACGATGTTCACGTGTCTGACTCGTCTCTTCTCTGTCTGTCTTTTAGAAAAACCGTCAAACCGAAGATGGACCTCTTCTCCTCCCCGAGGGCAGAGGTATCTATGTGCTGTTAATCGTTCTTTCTTGTTGTTGTTGCTCTGGTAACAATCTCCATGGCCACCCACAGAGCAACAACTCCTTAGTCTAACAACCACGCAGAATGCACCACATCACCCCGAGAAATAACATATGATCCTGTCAACACACACACACACACACACACACACTCACACACACTCACACACACACACACACACACACACACACACACACACACACACACACACACTCTGTCCCGTCCACATCTCTGCATTACTTTCTATCGACTGATGTGACAAATCAATGAGGATGATTTTAAAAGTGTTGTGCAACTCTTCTTCTCCTCCCTCTTGCCTGTGACTCCGTTGACCTCATCAATATTTCCCGCCTCGCTTCACTTCCTCTTTTAATTTCTGTATCCTTCTCTCCTTTTGTATTAGCCTCCCCCCTCCCTCTCCCTCCTGACTTTACCTTCTCTCCCCCTTCATCTCCCTTTTTTTTTTTAAACATCCCTTAAGTCCTTTTTTCCTTTTTCCTCTCCCCTCCCTCCATCTCTTTTCAAGGTTGTGACCATCTCTCCTCCTCCATCTCTCTTCCTCCTCCTCTCTTCCTCTTCTTTGCATCCTCTCATTTTTATTCCGTTCACACTCTGCGCTCAAACGAATATGGGGGGGAGGGGGGGGGCAGTTTATATCCTGAAGTCGTTGCAGAAAGTTGTGCGTTAGCGTGCGACCTTTGTAGCTGGTGTGTTGCAGGTGCAGGAGCTCAGTTGGGTCAAGAGTTGAAGTTTTAATGACCTGAAAGTTAAAGTTCTCCCAGAAGGCAAAGAAGCCGATCGATCGGTACTCTTGTTGACACAGTTCCTCCAGTAACCCTCCTTTTGTACTTATTGTTTAACCCCAACGCTTCAACCTTCAGTGAGTAGCAGCCAAAAAGGTCCCCACTCTTAATGCGTGCAACTCACAGGGGTCCTCACGAAGACAGAAGAACAAGAGCATGCACACAAATACCTATTTTTAAATCGAATCAGTGCAGTTAAACTTGTGACTGTGAGTAATAGTGTGTGTGGGAGTAATGATGTTGATACTACGGTTTCATCTGATTTGCAGTGTGATGTGTTTATGTTTTATTTGCGTGTTTCTTTGTTGCACAGTTCATTTTAATTTGGTCTTGAAAAGCTCACAGGAAGCTGCTCCGAGCACCGTGTGTCAATCATCCCAGTCCCCTCTCAACGGATGGATGGAGCTTCTGCACACTAATGATGCCACATTCAAATATGCACTTGTGTCGTTTCTTTTAGTAAAATAAATCTGCCAGTGCAGCAGTTTTTGTGTGCAGAGTATTTCAACCTTTACCCATTGTCCTTTTTTAAATCTTTACTCGTTAAATCAAGTTGATTTCTATGAGTGAATGGTTGAAATAAGTCAAATAATTGATATACATATATGTGACTTTGGCCTCAAGGTTTTTCCTTTGTCATCCGTCGTTTTTCCCCTGAAGTTTCATCAGAGACGGAATCGGTGTTTGTCGGATTAATCTGCGTTGAAAGTTCTCATTGTTCGCAGCCACATTTAAAAACTTGGTTTAGAAAAGTAAAGTTTGGACGATTCAGTATCTTGATAAACTGGAGATTTTTGCAGTGCAAGTGTTTGTGTTTGTCTCGTTTTATAAGTGGTTGTGTTTACAGCCAGAACAAGCTGTAACATGAGTTCTTATCTGCAGGTGGTGTGTGTGTGTGTGTGTGTGTGTGTGTGTGTGTGTGTGTGTTTGTGTGTGGGTGTGTGTGGGTGTGTGTGTGTTTCTGCAGCTCTTGTGTGCTTTATCCCCTTACATCACTTGTCCTAACCTTGCACCATCGGCTGCACACAAACACACTGAATCCCTCACTGCACACTTCACTGGTCTTTTATTGCCAAACTAGTAGCAGCAACTCCATTTCACTCCGTCCTCCCCCTCTGCCTCCCCTCTCTCCCACACAGATGTAAAACATCGCTGCGCTCTACTCTACCAGACCCACCAGCCTACTCAACATTTATTTTAGCTCGCTCTCTCCTTCTAAGAGAGGAAGATGGATGCTCCTCTGTGTGTGTGACCCGCCGTGCGTCTTTTTCAGTGCAGGGAAGTGGCTGTTAAACTCCGTCCGAACAATGATCAATGGCCGCTCTGATCCTGATGGATTGGAGGAGGCCGCAGGCATTTGTCACAGTAGAGCTGGTACCAACGTTGGTGTTTACACTATGCAACACTTCATTCCACTCCACTTAGCATCAGCTCAGGCTCAACCCCACAGCGTGTGATGAGTAATTGTTGACTTTGGCGATATCAGTTTCAAACAAGGTCAATGGAAAAGCTGCTCTTGGTTAACGTGAGCTTTTAGTGATGCACGAGCCCGAGGGGTAGTTTGTCTGATTAGAAAAAGTGGGACACGAAAGACAACGAAGCAGGAACAGACTAGAGATGTTCGGATACCTGAGTTTCTGAACTGGATGCCACAACTGCAGCCGAAATGTGAGGTCTGACCGTCTGCGTGGACGGTAACAACATGATGGACCACAGCACGAGCATGTGGTAGTGCAACAGTGCGAGCGAGCATGCGACAAATAGTGCGGCAAGTTACTCATTGTAATTTCATTATGAAACTGTGGCAGGACAGAGTAGAAAGTGTCGGGCTGCTACAGTCTACATAGTTAATGGGAAACACTGAGATAACGACACTAGTGTCAGAAATGCCTCTGAAGGTGATGCATCGGTGTGTACGTGAATCTATGCACTGATCCCGGACCAGGTCTTTAAAGAACATTAGTTTCACTCAGATTAAAAAAAAAATGTTTTAAGAGCAGAGAAGAAGTGATTAACAGAGTTTCTAAATCTCAGCAATTGGGCGATACTTCATGCTGCAAGTAAAACACTGACGTGTACTTTATGAAAGTATTACGATTCAAGCAGTTTAAAGGACATACTTGTTACGCTAATTAATTTTTAGCGCTGTTTTTCAGTTCTGACTGTCAATAAAAGGAGTTCCCTGGCATAAATTCTCTTTTTATTTGCTTTTCAAAGGGTTTAACCTGAGCGAGGCCGAACAGCAACCGGGTTACATAACGTTAAAAGTCCAGGTTTGGCTTTGGGAAGGGAACAATGGGAACATCTCTCTCTCTCAGAACAGCTTGTCGGAGCGATAAGAGTCAAAGAGGTGAAAAGATTGAGTGAAAAAATGCACAAAACCCCATAAAATTACAAATTAAAAATCAAAGCAGTCGTGATCGACTGAGGCTCAGCTCCTTCTCCTCTGCAGTGAGAGCCATTAAAGCAGAAATTAGATCCTATTTTAGATAAAGACCTTCGGAGGAAAAAGAAAAAAAAAGATTAAATGAAGGTAAAGTACACTCGGTACTTCTCAATGGGAAGAGATACGACCTTAGAATCCTGAGTTCACCTTTACGTGTATTATAAAGTGAAATTATGCAGTAGAAGGGTCAAAGAGGTCAAATAACCGGAGCAGGAATGAGAAGCTATAACTTGTACGATGTACGACGAAGAAAAAAACTGGGAAAACTAAGTGACCCAAGAAGTTTTATGGGACAAGAGCTGCTTCACGATGTTTGTTCTTACGATGGTGAGACACCTAGTGGCCAAAGTTACATATTGTACGTTTAAAGTGATGAAGCTGATTCGTCAGCAGGTTTCCCGAGTCGACTGGATTCACTCTGTGGAACTTAAAAGCGGAGTCACAGTGAAAAACCCAGATAAAAATCATCCAACTCTGCTTTTCTACGATGTTTGGTCGCTTCGTTTATCTCACTGTCGCAGCTCATTCATCACAGGGCTCGGTGTTTCCGGCTGAACCCATTAAACCCAGTCTACGCTGCCTGTCAATCACCGAGCAGGAGACGGACACATTTAGCAGTGAAATAAAAATAAAGTGGAGCATCCAGCATCATGAGAGACAGTTATTTTCAGACAGAGAGTTAATTCTGGACTTCGTCAGCCGGTCAGACACTTTAACAAATGCCAGGTACAGTAATGTCTGAGAAGTAGGGGGAACGTTTGACTTTGAATGTTCTTCACGCAGAACTATTAGTTTTGATAAAACCCAAATCCATCCTGTTGTTGTGTTGCGTGACGGCTGAAAAGCCACACAGAGATTCACAACCTCTGCAGCCTGTGCTCATTCTCAGACTCATGTATTATGATCCTTCTCTCCGGGCTTTCGAGGAAGTGGGCCATCTACTTAAAATATGACACTTTTATCGAACGTCAGGGAGAGAGAGAGAAAGAAAAAAAAACCCTCAACGCTCATCTCTTCCTCCCTGTTGCCAGACTAATGAGCTAAAGGTTTAACAAGCTCATTAAGGCGGGGTCGGCAGCAAGTCTAATTGTACCAGATGATTGCTCCTGTGGCTGCGTGAACCCAAGGGTTGGACGGCTACATTTAGAGACCTGCTCTCCATCGGGCACCCAGGACTCATCAACACGGAGTAGCTGCAGCGAACAGGAAGACGAACGAAATAAGCAGCATTGCATTCTGGTCTATTCGCACTGCCGAGTAGAAAATTGGTGTGTGCATTCTTCTGATAGATTTGATGCCACATGGTGGTATTTGAAGAAAGTGGAGAATCGAGCCCCTTGTCTTTGGTTCGCAGGGTCGTGGTGATGTCGTTGTATGTATGTCAGTGAGCTGCCTTCAGACATTAACTGAAGTGCGGATACTTTGCTGTATTTTTCCGGAGGGGCTGAATGTGATAACGCAAATGACCGAGTCAGTTGTTCGGGACCTCCTGCAGCACATCCGAGATCTCTCGCTCGAATGTTCCTGACAATGTCCTGTCTGACCCGAACAATCTCCTGCTGCTTCTTTACATGTGAAAGACAAACTCAGGAAAATGTCTGATCCCGATTTTCTGGACAGTTTTTCAGATTTCAGTTTCAGTAGCTTAACTTGGAGGGTGAATAATTGTGAAATGGCTGTTTTTGTCTTTGTTGGTCACCTTTTTACTTTTACGTGAGCAGATGGTGAAAAGAAATCGAGTTTAATGAAGTGATTGCTTTTTATGCAGCTTTTTAAATAACACATACAGTATTTATTTGGTCAACTGTCCACAGAACGGACTTGTTATAGTCATGGATTGGTTTTATTAATAGGATGAACTGTTAGTGGAGACTGGGAGAAAAAAAAAAAAAAGAACAAATTGAATAAAAGAAACAGATGCGACAAATGTGGAACAAGGACAAGGACGGGAATAAAGAGGTAGAATGATGATGGCGAGGAGATGGAGCGAGAGAGGGAGCGATGGAAGGAGGTGTAGAGAAAGGAGGGATTGCTTTGTCACATCATATTTGGTGTTTTTGTTGGAGATAGTATCTTATCGCCCCGGTAACACATTTTCACATCATCTATAAATTACAGGCAGCGGCGTGTCAGCGTGATTATGAAACATCTTCTGGACTGATGCATTAAAAATAACAGCCATGAATTCAAACCCTGTGCGTGTGTGTGTGTGTGTGTGTGTGTGTGTGTGTGTGTGTGTGTGTGTGTGTGTGTGTGTGGAAAAGGGACGAGCAAAGAAGAGACAAATGGAATTTTAATCCAGCCGGCTCCCTCACTCCCCAGCTTCATTAATCTGCCACTTGCCTCTGTCTCATTTTCTTCTTCATGCACACACACACACACACACACACACACGATAACCCCTCCTCCTGCCTCCATGCTTCCCACATTCTCTCAGCATGAAGGGAAGA